ACAAAATTACAAATTTTTATAAATTATGGACTAAAGTGCCATTTTTACAAAACTTTGGGCCTTAATTGAAAATTTGAGGCTTTTGACCAAAAATGTCGTTTTACGAAAAAGGAGACTTTTTATAATAAATTTGGTAAACCTCGAGCTAAAAAAACAACGAAACAATAACGAATGGACGAAATACATTTGATAACAATTTTATTGGGCCTAATATTCACGTTACATGGCCAATGGGCCTTAAGGGCCCATCCAAGTGCATATTGAGCCCAATATTTTCCATGACATGTTTATTGGGCCTTGCGACCAATTTACATGTTAATTTGGGCCTGAGTTATGGGTCACATGCTTGTAGGGCCTTGGTGGTCCAGTTACATGCCCATTGGGCCTAAATTACCCTCTTACATGTTATTGGGCCTTTGTGGTCCATTTACATGCTAATTGGGCTTGGACTAAAATTCACATGCTTAGTACATCGTAAATATGTCTTTACATAATTATTGAACTTCGTATACTTATATATGTACCTTTGGATTTGATAACATACAACATACACGTAAACATTAAACATGGTATGAAAGGTTGAGAATCTAGTGAGACTTGTCGGTTGACACCTTTGAGTGTACAATCGTAGCCTGTAGTTATAACCAGAGTTTCCTGGAGGGAGAGCGGGAGTTTGTGTATAGATCTATACGGGGTGACCCCCCATGCCTTAGCTGTTCGCTACAGCTAGACTAGGTCAGTCTACAGCGACAAACCTTACCTACAACAAAACCGGCGCCTGAAAACGTCAAGACAGGCGAATTAGTCATTATCAAGCATGGTTGTAACGGCTCACTTAGAGAGTAACTTCATCAAAGATTTCAGTATATTTATACAAATCTAGGCGATACTAAAAACATACATACATCGATACTCGGTCATGGATTTTATGATTACGATACTTTTATATGCAGAAAATATCGGATTTTCTGGGATAAATACATTTATACATTACCTTCCACTTACAAAAGAAAAATACAGGGTTTCTATATGGATTACATTTTTGTTTATTTATACATTTCAAAAGCAGCAAACACACATGCATTAATACTTGATTTAGACACATTATTTTCAAACCACTTTACAGAAAATATCAGATTTTCTGGTGCTTTACGAACTATACAAAACTTTTCAATCAAACATGCTTATGAACTCACCAACATAATATATGTTGACGTTTTCAAAATAACTTGTATTCTCAGGGACTCGTTAGGTAGAAGAATCATCAAGAATATGGGATTTTGTTTTATGTACTGTTAAACATCATCCAACGAATGTTTTGGTCATGTAATTTAAAAGATTGAACTTGATGTAAACAATGGCAGTTGTATTAAATTATGCATGGTGATGATGATGTTATGTTTCATTTATATTCACTGTAATGATATTTCAAGATGAAGTCACGCGCAAGCCCCCAGACGTTTCCGTCGTCTGGTTTGGGGGTGTGACATTGACCTTGAAGAAATTTGAGATATGACCGATGGTGAACTTATAGTTCTAGCTCTCAACTAGAGGTTGAAATACCAGTTGATCAAAATGACATTGCCTTACTTGTTCACAGATATAGAAGAGTTATTGCATGTGACATTCGCATTTTAACCATATTAAAAGTTTTTATTTATGCTTATTTAAAACATAGTTTATTTATAAATGCGGAATTTGGTCCCGTAAAAGTATTTCCGAAAAAATATTTTTCATTAATTTATAAAATCTAGGGATGTCATCACTCATATAAAACATCATCATAAAAATGCCATACAATATCTTAGACTAACAATCTATATCTCCTTGAATCTTTCATCATTTATGTACCTTTGTGTAACACCCGCATATTCGGGCTAGTCAATTTAGAGACGATAAGCGTCAAAAATGACTTTTTAATAGAGGATTATTTAGAATAAATAATCTTAACTAAGTTGTAGTATATGTCACAAGGTTTTCGTACATATAAAGAACGCTGAAATCCGAGTTATAACGAAGAAGTTATGACCTGTCGAAGTTTCGCGACAAAACCGACACGACACCGGGAATCGTAAAAAGTGAGTTTATGATAGAATACTTTTTAGCCTTAGGTTTCTAAATGAAAGTTGTAGATTACGTCTCCACCTTCGCGTGGATATAAAGAACGTCGAAAACGGAGCTCGTATGCAAAATTTATGGCCTTCCGAAGATGCAGCTATTGAGAGCATGACACGTGGTTGAAACCCTAGTCGCCTTAAGTCAAGACGTGAACATGAAGTTCACGATGTGAAACGTGTCAGGGACACTAATCGGGGCTAGAAAACACGTGGTAACACTACAAGATGACTCATGGACGTTCACGACGTGAACCTATCATGTTCACGACGTGAATGGGCCCAGAACAGCCTATAAATAGCGATCAATACCCTTTCATTCCTTACACCTTCTACTTTCTTTCTCTCTCGTTTTCTGAAGCCGTTCCGCGTCCCGAGCCCAACGATTACGAACCGCCAACCGTTTCTAGTTAGATTCTATCAACTCACGCTAATAAGGTGAGTGCATATTATTTTCATCTTACACATAGATATGAAGTAATTTATATAAATTACGTGCTATGTGTGCATATTATCTGTATACTTGCTATCTATGATGGATGAACCATTTTATACATGTTTTAATTGATTTAAACTGTATATGTATTTTATATCTACAAATATGTTAGGTAAAACATGGGTAGATGAATTAGATGATGTGTGATGAAATAAAAATTGATGAGAGGTCTCGATGTTTAAGATGAGCTAGTCATCTAGCAGAATATAAACATAGTTATTAGTTATTGATCCGGGAGTATGGATCATACATACCAGATCCGGGAGTATGGATCAGGTAGAGAGGTTAGTTTTAGATCTGGGAGTACGGATTAGGTATTTTTGAACTATGTGTTCACCAGTTGTAATTTAAGAACCCTGGAAGCTATGAACTTAGTGCCTATTAGATACTTAGTGCCTATTAGATAAACGTTGGCAGCTATGGACTTAGTGCCTATAAGATAAATGTTGGCAGCTATGGACTTAGTGCCTATTGTATAAACCCTAGCGACCATGCAAACTTGGTGCCTAAACCCTAACAACTATGGATTTAGTGCCTGTTGTATAAACCTTGGCGACGATGTGACTTCATGCCTATTTGACATAAATTGCTGAGGAAAAGCAGTGTTGTCACCCCGATGTTTGCTTATTTGACATAAATTGCTGAGGAAAGCAGTGTTGACACCCTGATGTTTGCTTATTTCACATAAATTGCTGAGGAAAGCAGTGTTGTCACCCCGATGTTTGCTTATTTGACATAAATTACTGAGGAAAGCAGTGTTGTCACCCCGATGGTTGCCTTATTTGATATAAACCCTGGCAGCGATGGACTTCGTGCCTATTCCTTAGGTCAATCCTTAAGAATGAATAAATGAAGGTTAAATGATTCATAGGGTAGATCCTTAAGAATAAATAAGATAATGGGAATGGGTAATTGGGTTGATTGTTTGATGATTAAATATAATAATTATATTATTGTGGGTTGAAAACCCTATGTACTCACCAGGTTTCCCAACCTGACCCACTTAAATGTATTTGTATCACAGGTGTCGATACGAAGCTACTTTACACTGAGAGATTCAAGGAGATGTAGATCACTAGTGTAAATAAATGTAAGGTCTGTTTATGCTTATGTTTCAGTATTTACGATGACATCCCAAAGTTTTAATATGAATAAAATACATTTCTTCGGAAATGCTTTGATAATATATTTATCATGTTTTTCTGGGAACAAATTCCGCAACATTTTTATTAAAAGAAGTATTCTGATTTTTATAAAGCATAAACAAAATCGGTCTTTTTTGGCCGTGAAATTGGGGATGTCACACTCTGTACCGCTACCTGTGATACAAAGAAGCTGAATGAGTCAGGTTGGGAAACTTGATGAGTACATAGGATTTTTAATCCCCAATAATATAATTAATTTGTTTAATTATCAAACAATTAACCCAATTACCCACCCCCAATTTCTTTATATTTATTTCTAAATATCAATGCCAACATCGCATTTTTGTATACTTTCATCGCTAAGGATTTCTCATAATATCATCGCCCAATATATTCATCGTTGAGGACTTATCCTAATGTTCATTTCCTAATCATCGCATTTTATATTTTCATCGCTAAGGGCTTCTCCTATTGCTCATCGCATTGACTTTACTACTTCGGGGGTTTCCTTCGCAGTACATGTCGGTATAGTATACCGCATGAATACGTGGTTCGTACACTGGACTGTTAGATTAGTCTGTGGTCATCGTTTGTACTCAGTTAGATGACTATATCGCAAACATCTCAATCATTGCAAGTAAAAGTCATGGCATTATCTATATTTTTATTGTTACAGACCTCTCCTAATCATTTTCATCTCTCAGATCCCATCTCTCAATGGAGAACTAAATTGGGGGAGAGAACCAACAAACTTTTTATCTGCAATGAATTTAGTTACCAAATTTCACATATGCATGTTAATACATATATCTAAGAAGATTACAAAAAAAAATTGAAAAAACATTTATATGCTTTTATATATGCACATTTTTTTTTGAAAATATATATATGCATAAAAAAATATAAATATGCATTTTTTTGAAAAAAATATTTTTTTTAAATCTTATTTTCGAAATATAAGGAATATTTTCATATATTTGATTTTTTAATTTGTTTTAAGTTTTTTTAATTTTTAATTTTTTTTAATTTTTTAATATATTTAAATCTACGCAAATATTCCTTAAATTTCGAAATTAATATTTGAAAAAAGAATTTTTCACAAAAATTCATTTTTAATTCATATTCATATATTTGTTTTTGTGTATATGCATATTTTTAAAAAATCATATGCATATGCACATGCACATTAAAAAAACACTTTTAATGCATCTATATGTATATTCATATGCATATGTCATATGAATATCACATGGTCGCCAATTCATATGCCAAGACATGTGTATTTCCCTCAACATAGTAACCACACAACTCAACAAAGTCGACATGCTTGAGTGTTGAAACCATTGAAACCTTGAATCGAAAGAAAAACATTATTCATAAAGAGGAATGCAAGAAATAACAATATACTTTCATCTAACAGTGATTAGGTATATTTTTTAGTGTACAATGTTGTTATCGTAAGAAATGAAAATAGAAAAGGATATTCTAAGCAAATAAGTTGACTTTACCTGAGTCAAAAACACTGAATTTGATTCAGCCAATGGAGAAACCATCAAGTTTTTTCACAGCAACACTTTTTCCATTATTTAAGTTTGCAAAATAAACCATTCTATATGAACCTTCACCAATCAATGCCTTAGATCCAAAATTTTCAGTTTTTTCTTTCAATTCATCGAGTGAAAGTGAAGGCATTGCTTTTTGAGCTTCATGTTTGATAGGAGGTGGTAATTGTTAGATTACATATGCATGCTAAAAAAACTGAAACATATTCAATAGCAACTTCAAATCACATTTACGACACTTCCAATCACAAGAAATCAAGTCAAAGTAAATTCGTATCCAACAATTCATCTTTTCCTCATATATTATATCAATGGTATATGAATAAACGTCCACCTTAAACTGGATTCTACAATGAAAAATAGTTACCAAATTTCACATGTGCATGTTAATACATATCTCTAAGATGATTACAAAAAAAAAAATTGAAAAAAAATATTAATTTTTTTGAAAATGTATATTTGCACAAAAAAATATGAATATGCATTAAAAATGTATTTTTTGGAATTTTCTTAAATCTTAATTTCGAAATATAAAGTATATTTTCACTTATTTGAATAAAAATATATTTTTTATTTTATTTATTTAATTATTTATTTAGTTATTTATTTTTTAAAATAAGCAAATATATTCCTTACACTTCAAAATTAATATTTAAAAAAATAATTTTTCAAAAAAAAAGGATTTCTAATGCATATTCATATATTTTTGTGTATATGCATTTTTTTTAAAAACATGTGCGTATGCACATACATATTTTAAAAAAAATATTTTTTATGCTTCTATATATATGCATAAGAATATATATATATATATATATATATATATATATATATATATATATATATATATATATATATATATGCATATGCACATGCATGCACATGCATATACATATGTATAAGAATAAGTATATGCATTTGGCAATTAAATACATATGATTATGCTTATGTATATACATATGCATAACAATAAGTATATAATATATGTATATTCATAATAATAACTATATGCATAAGAATAAGTATATGCATATGCATAAGTATATGCATAATAATAAGTATATGTATATGCATATGCATAATAATAAGTATATGCGTAATAATAAGTAAATGCAAATGAATAAGTATATGCATAAGAATAAATATATGCATACACATATGAATAAATATATGCATATGCATATGAATAACTATATGCATAAGCCATTTAAATACATAAGAATGTTATTTTGATATTATGGTAGGTTTTATAATTAATATGGAACGAACCTTCAAACATGAATGATAGTTTAGGGTGATCATGATTTAATTATAATTGTAAAAGTAATTGAACGTTATTTTTGGTGTTACAGATAACAATAATATGAATAAGTAAAATAAATATAATTGTAAAAGGAGTGTAAAATTGACCTAGTGTCATGACAGTCTTCAAACATGCATAACTTCATTTGGGAGCATATTTTCTCAGGTTTTTTCTACAAGATATTGAAATTAAACAAGTAATTTTTTTTTGTAATGTTGTGTATAAAAAATGAAAATTAAAAAAGGTACCTTAAATAAGAGCATATCAATTATAGACTTTCCATATTGCTCGACCAAAGTCTTGCATTCTTGGCTCATTAATCCATGAGCACCAATAGCTTGATTTATTTGAGTAACAACAACCTAAAAAAGAGGTTCTAGCCAACAAAATATGCATGTCTAAATGTGTATAAATGCCTATTTTACCCTTGGAAAAAATAAACTATACATACCGTTGGACCAGCCAACAAAGAGGTTCCAGAATCAGCAATTGTTGCACAACCATTGGAGCAAAATCCTATAAAAAATAGAAATTATGATAATCAGAAACTATAAAAATACAATTTAAAAATTTAGAGGATAAAAGAATGCCACAAATTACCAGTTGTTTCCTTACTGATAAAGACATCATTCATTTCAAACTATAATAAGAAAAACAACCAAATGAGTAATAAATTTTTATAAAAAAAATAAAAAATTGAAAATGAATATAAAGAATAGTAACCTGCCAGTAGCCTTTTTGTGTGACAAGGACATAAGTATGTGCAACTCTGAAATGACTAGTGTCAACACCACCAAACACAAGTTCACCTTCTTCATTATTTTTAGTATTTCGATTAAGCCAAAATGAAAACACGGGTTCATAAACAAGACCTTGATCAACCATGTTGTACCTAATATAGTCAATCATCAAAAAATAAATAAATTACATTTTTGGTCCCTGAGTTTGTTCAAAATTGTAGTTTTGGTCCCAAATAGTTTCCTCATACAATTGAATAGACTCACAAAGGCACCAACATTGCAGGAGAGAACTATCGGGAACCAAAACTGAAACTTTTGAATAGACTTTGAGGCAAAAATGTAATTTACTCCAAGAAAATTTTTTGGAAAGTGAGTGAAGTACCAAACAGGAAGAGCACCCCTAACAGAGATTTCTTGAAACCAAAGCCAAGAATACCATCAAACTTTGCTGCAACAAAAACGATTCCAGGCTCTATGGTTGCTTTTATGAAATCCTTAAAATGGGTAATTTAGTAAATGTCGAAATGAAGAAATTTTAATAAAAATTTACGTAATTTCTTAGTCATTAGTCTTTACCTGTTCCTTGATGGTAAAATCACCAAGTCTTGTAGAATCATGGCTAAAGAAACCAGAGATAGCACCAGTTCCATATCTAATTGCAGCAGATTTCCCTAGATGAAAATTACAAGATCTTATGCATTAGAAATAGTAATATCACAAAACATACTTTAGGGTGATCATGATTTAATTAGTTTGGATACAAGGGGAAAAACATGAATGATAGTTTCACTCAGGCATTTCATCAAACACCTAGAATGCAACTGCTCAATTTCTTCCTTAGGGCTACATAAAAAGAGGTCTTCTTCATGATGAGGGCATTAAGAACGACTCAAATAAGGTTTAAATCAATTATACACGAATAAAATTCTTGATCCATCTCATATTTGTCAGACTCTATTCCATAGCTGATTACATAGATGAATGGAAGTAAAAACAATAGGAGAAAGGAGACATGGGTTGGGAAATACTTATATAAGACTAGAGAACATACTCAAAAAATGTTGAGCAACGAAAAATAATAGATTACAGCGACACATCTCTTTTGTCCTAAGCAAATCAAAGTCTCAGAAGGCCACAACATGGTGGTTTCTTATCAGATGGTGGATATGTTTCATCATAAACATCAGTAGAGAGGAATGACCTACGTATGTATTCGTGAATTGCTCAAGAGAGCCTCTCTCAATAACATGATGTGGTCTGTGGTTGGAAGATAATACTGACTAGATTCAAACGATGTGAGTGCGTGGAGATTAGAAAGCTTGTAATGAAGGATATGAGCTTTTGGGTATGCTCGACTAGACAGACCACCATCCATGGCTGGTTGATCTTGACTTGCAAGGGAAATTAATCGATTATTTTTTTTTAAAAAAATACAGGCATCTGATTGATGCATAGTTCGCTGGTTCCCTCCAATTTAGGGAGTTTGTTGTTAAACTTGATTCTATATATATATATATATATATATATATATATATATATATATATATATATATTTATATATATATAAACGAATAATTAGGAAAATCGTTATATAATTAAATTGAGCAAAATCATATCATATAGGTTCATCCAACACATAATACATATACTAGGCAAATATAACATTTAATTATCTAAATAATTCATATCTATGTGTAAGATGAAAGTAAATATGCACTCACTTGATCAAAGTAGATGCCTCATAATTTGGGCAGAACTTCGCCTTGGTACTTTAGCTTTTCTTCTGATGTGACCAAGGTTCATATTAGTAAGTCTTAGTATTTATATATTCCTCGCGACTAATGACAGTGTAGATTCATTACTTATCCCAATGTCTACATCAACATCTATCGAGCAAGGAACAAACATGTAGGATCATATTTATAGAAGGGTCTGTTTGGTATACAGAGTGTAATATTTGGAAATCGCACTTAAAACACATCCCTAAATCCAGCCTAGACATCATCCCCGTAAGTATATCAATCAGTATAATAACTTGGAGTTACTGATAATTATTATTTATAGGTTCATAATAACGACTATGACTATAAATATAAGTTATACTGAAAGCAATAAGCGTGTAGCTTAACTTATAGAGATCTTATAGCGAAATTTGGAAAATTGCATGAAATTAAATCTGATCCGGGAGCTTCTTATCATCAGCTATGTGACACCCTAGGGTTCACCGAAGCTTAATTCTAAAGAAGATTTCTGAAAAAAATCGAGAGAAAATCGAGAGAGAAAGTTGGAATGTATGGGAAATCGAATGAGGTTTGAATCCAATTTATATGGCATTTTTGGCTTGCTCGCGGCACACTTGGTTGGTTCTCACGGCACACTTGGTTGGGGTGGGTAACGTGGCTCCAGTAGTTATGTGACACGTGGCGACTAACAGGTGGAGTGTCAGTGCGCACCGTGTGCCCTGTCGACGCGCGGGGACGGACACGAGGATTTTTAGTTTCATCAAAAATTCATATCTTCTTCATGCGAGCTCCGTTTTCCATGTTCTTTATATCCACGCATAGCTATCGATGAAATCTACAACTTTGCTTCAGAATCTGTCGGCTAATTTTCAATTTATTTTTAAAGCTATATTTTTAACATGCTTAGATTGTTAAAGTCTGTTAAAAATTCATAACTCTCTCGTATGATATCCGTTCTCGACTGTATTTATATCAACGGATAGGTATTGATGAGATCTTCAACTCTTGTTTAGATTGTTTTTCCTAACAATCGGCGAATTTTAATTTCGGTTTCTAAGCCGTATACTGCTACGCTGAAACTTCGAAAAATCATAACTTCCTTATATGAAGTCAGATTTAGACGTTCTGTATATGCACACTATCGTTTTTATGATTACTATGACTTTTGTTTAGATTGCTTACGCTAATAAGCAATCCGTCTAAAATTTACTTTTTACGGTATGCATAGTTGTGTCAGTTAATTGAGATACTTCGAAGAAGCATAATTCTTCATGCGAAGTCGGATTTTAGAGTTCTTTATATGTGCAGAATTATTGTCTATCGAAAAGTCTTTTTATTGCTTATTTGTCTATCCCGGATCTGTGGGCGTTACAATTATCTCCTGCTTAGGATGATTACGTCCCAAAATCATCAAAAAAATATGGCTTGTATAATGACTTCCCACGTTACTTTTCCATCCTAGGTAATAACCGCAACTCTTATGTCCTTTCCAGTGAGTTTCTAACTATTGGGCTTATCTACTACTGGCGGTGCTCGACCTTGCAAACGTTCTCCATTCTAAATTCGATTTGTATTGGAGGCTGTTGCTCCTTCTTGAGTAGGCTTAACCAATGATAAGGTCTTTACTTTGACTACCTTAATAGACCGATGGATCACACTCTAATGACATTTCATCGTATGATGCAATGGCTAGGCTCATGTCTTTTTGAGTCAGACTCTAATGTGGAAGATACCTTCCTTCATCTTCTAATGTGATATAATGACATTCTAGAATGTAGCACTTATAGCTATATGCATCTTACTTTTAATGGTGATTATGATACTTTTATTGATCTCTTTGATTATCTTTTCCTTCACTCTAAAGTTGTATGCTATGTCAAACTTACTTCGTATATTAGTCAGCCTCAATTCGATATGACCAGTAGGGTCGAAATAATATTTATCTTTGTAGTAATTATCGAAACAAATGTAATGACGGAAATGAACAAAATAGTTCAACTACTTAGAGACTTAGTAACCTTGTGATTTTCCCTTATCCAAGTGCGAGTCCTGTACTCCCGGTAGTATAGGCATCTACTGCCTCTCACACCTACTCATATTCGTCCCATGAATTGCCTTAGAGTTTCCAAGGCACCACACATGAAAATCATATAGTAACTTAACACATGGGGTACGTAACATAACCAAGGATTATATTACCTCTTGAAAATGGTAACATTGTTATTCGAATCAATCATACATTATGCATTTTACATCAGAGTATATCCTAAAATTCTATCTAGGTGGGGTGACCACTTCATATCTTGAAATCCTTGGATAAGTACTAGACAATATAGACTTGGATAGTTTCATTTGGACTGACAATACGATGCTCGGGTAGATTAAGCAGTGAGATAAACATGGGAGCCTGCGAGATACACTAAAAGTTAATTATCTAGAACTGTGGCTCAACATTTCCTCGATGTACGGACTTATGTCCTTAATTCTGGTTCTGATAGGGCGGATGGGGGGTTCTGATAAAGTAGGTCTGTAGGAAATTATTTTCTTGCTTTCTATCTGTCAGTCATATGTTGCTTCCTCTGCGTGATTGGAAGACATCCGACCTGGAATGCAACATATGCAACTCTATTTCTACGCACCTCCTTATCTATGAAATTCTTTCTATCTGTTAGCCATATGATGTCCCCTCTGCATGATCGGAAGATCTGACTTGGAACACAACATATGCAACATTCTACCTCTCAATCCCTCTATATTTGTTAGTCATATGTTGTTCCCTCTGTGTGATTGGAAGACATCCGACCTGGGATACAACATATGAACTTCTATATCTGACTTCTTTCTTAATGATTGAATACTCACCTAAAGTAAGGAGTTCTTTGGAAGTTATTGATTACCGGGGTATATCGGGAAGTGGGAAACACGTTCTAGTACTTCTAAAATCGAACCATTTAATAGGTTGTCTGTAGATCTTGCTGCTTAATTTAAGTGGACAACAATATCCTTGGTCGTCGTTAGCTAAATGTCCATTTAGGAATATATATCACAATGACTTGTCACTTATAATATGTCCAAATTGTCAAGATCCTTTGTGTTTAAGTGGACCACAATACCGGTGATTGACGAGATCTAGACATGCAGGCGTGTGCTGATAAACGATATTGGATTGCTTGACAACTTTGATCCCAAATATTTTTGTTTTTGTTAAATTTGTTCATAGTTTTCCTCTATGCACAAATTTAGGGGGAGAATTAAAAAAAAAATTGCAAAAAAAAAAATCAAACAAAAATCAGAAAATTCAAAAATCAAACAAAAATCAGAAAATTAAAAATCCAAAAATATTTTTGTTTCTGTTTTATTTCTTGTTCAGAAAAATCAAAAATTCAAAAATATTTTTGTTTCCGTTTTGTGTGCTAAGCTTTGTTTTAATTTTGTTTTTATCTTTTAGTTTTGTTTTGTCTTGAAAAGTGAATTCAGATGTAGACGAGACTCATGGAGACTGTATCGAGATTTCTAAGCCAAAGCTTCATCCATGATCATCGAAGAATTCTCATTCGAAGGAACAAGAAATGAAGATTATTCTTCCAACATTCAATCTTTCAACCCCAAAAGCAAGGTGAAGCTGCACTTGAAGATTATGTGACAAGTTGCATTGAAGCCTCATCAATCAATTTGCTGCTATTCTTGAACCTGTTGAAGTGATCCAGAAGTTTCATTCTCTATTTTCTCTTAAGATTCTCAATCTGAAAGCGCCATCTTTCAAGAATCTTTTCAAGAAGCCTCCTCACCCGACGAGCGTTCAACGTCAAATATTGAAGAAAAGCCCAACTTCTCAAGATGAAGTCATTCATTGAAGATTCATCAAGTTCATCTTAAAGTTGTGAAGAATTTGAAGATTAATGCTGAACCAAGCTCCCGATGAAGATTGAAAAGGAAAAGCCAGCTACTTTTTAGGGGGAGTTTGTTAGGTCAATTAGAAAAGAAAGCTATAAACCAAGGGGGATATTGTTGGGTCAAAAATATGGTTTATACTTTACTTTTCTAGGAAAATGTATTTTTGTGTCTTGGACCGTAAACAGCTTGGTGTTTACGGCCGTATACGTGTTTACGGTTGTGTTTACGGCCATGAACAGGTTTACGGCCGTAAACCCGTTCACGACCCATTTCTACTATATATAGGGCGAGGAGTGCATATTGTAATGTAAATGAGAGGCATAGAGGAGGAGAGCATGTTCTAGAAAGTGAAAGTGAGAGAGAAGAGAGGAGCTTTAGTGTGTGTTAGTGTGTGTGTGAATCTTGTATCTGGATCTTAATTCATATCAATTCATACAAGATTCATCATCTTCTTCATCTCCTTCTTCTTCATTTGATCTGGCATCATCCGTTTGATTGGGATTCTGTACCATCAAATGGATCTGATTGATACACAAGCAGATTGGGGACTTACATTTGGTTTCTTTTTTAAATGACACCATTTTGTTGTGGAGTCTAAGGAGCAGAAAGGTTATGCTCAATGCCTTTGTCGATTAGGAACTTTTTCATTGTGGCATTTGTGAATTTGGAACCATTTTCACTCCGAATTCTTCTAACAGATGATTTTTTATCACTTTAATTCGTTTAACGAAGTTGATGA